GAATGTTAGTGCTTTTACCAAAATATTGTTTTCCTTACATGATATTTAAAACAATAACTGTATACTATAGTAACTGTAAATTTATGTCATTTAGTTTTTTATTAAAAATATTAGGGGTTAGCACTCGAGAGGCTGAGGCAGCAGGACCACCTGGAGTTCAAAAACAGCCTGGGTTACATAGCCTGAACTCTACTACATAGTGAGACTTTGTCTCAAAAAAAAAAAAACAAAAGCCAAATGAGGGGCCAGAGGACAGAATAGGACCAGAGAGCACAAAGGGGCAGAGCTTCTAGGGATAAAAAGGGATAATCAAATTTAATGAACTGGAGATGGTGAGTTCCTTACAATAATTTTCATAACATATTTTTAGTGTCTGACATTACACTGTATTGGCTTTCATCTTTAAATTAAACATTCTTTTGTACTTTAAAGCATCTTTATTCAAGCAGAGGATATTTTTTCTGAAGATCCAGGTAGATAATGCTGAATTGCAACCCATATATCTTCACTGTATAATTAATTATTTTTATGGCAGTATAAGTTATGTGAAGGTTGTTATTATAAGGAGCATAGCCATTTTAGTTTATAGTTTAGTTTTTGTTTTTTTGAGATAAGGTCTTGCTATGTAGTTCAGGAATGCTGTCTTAGTTACTTTTCTCATTGCTGAGACAAAATACCTGACATCCAAAGTTAAAGGAGAAAAGTTTCATTTGGCTCACAGTTTGTAGAGGTTTCAGTTCATATTCAGCTTGCTGCAAGGCAGGGCGGCATGGTAGAAGGCCATCACAGAGGAGAATAAGTCTAAAGCAAGTAGGTGGGCAAGAGCAAGCAAGAGGCTTTAGCAGCTTCTTTCTGCTCCTTTTTTTAATCTTCTGTCTAGACTATTAGGATTAGGGTGGGTACCAAACCAGTCAGTGGACTGATTTAGTAATCACCCATCCTTAATCCTAGCAGTGCACACACTCTAGAGCCAACCATCTCTGAAAAAAACCCACCTATGAGGTGGTGCACGAGGCTTTGGAGGTACATCTAGACACAAGCCGTAACACTGGCCTTGAACTCCCTGTGAAGCCTAGGCTGGAGTGGAACTTGTGGTGATCCTCCTGCCTCAGTCTTCCAAGTGCTAGCATTACAGACATGTGCCACCATGCCCAGCTAACATAGCCATTTTATTTGTTTGTTTGTTTTTGGTATGGGGGTCGAACCCAGGACCTTGCGCTTGCAAGGCAGGCGCACTGCAGCTGAGCTAAATCCCTGGCCCCATAGTCATTTTATTAACAGGTGATGTTATATTTGCAAGAAATCAAAATTTGTCTTAAACCAAGCTATGTGTTAGTTATCTAAACAGTTCTGGATGTTAATTTTTAAAATATTTGTAAATGTTTTCTCTCACTGTGAAATATTTGATTCAATATTTTTTACAGAAAAAATGCAAAAGTTCAGAAAAGGGGTAAAATCAACTTGATTGGACGCTTGCAACTCACTACAGAAAGGATGAGGGAAGAAGAGAATGAAGGAATAGTTCAACTTAGAATATTGAGAACCCAGGTTTGTGATATTCAGATAAAATGTCTAAATTTTGAAAAGACTTGGTGTTTTATTTCATTTAATCTTTAACCTTATTTGAATTTAAAAGCATGTAGGTATTCAATCTATTTGTAAGAAGAAAGCTAATTTTCATTTTACGAGAATTTAAAAATAGTATTGATGGAACTCTCCAAGCACACTAACAGAGATACGATTTGGTGTCCTTCAGTAGATTGATTTATTTGTTAGATAAAGCCTTGGTTTTATCCAGGTGTGCTGACACATGTCTGTAATCCTAATTTCTTGGAAGGCTGAGACAGGAGGATTGAAAGTTCCTGCTCGGCTTGGGCACTTTAACAAGACTCTCAGAATTAAAAGAAAAATGAAATGGGCTGGAGAGCTCAGTGATAAGAGTACCTGGGTTCCTTCCCCAGTACTGGAAGGGGAATGGGGAGTCTCAGGAGCAGACAATTTTAGGATTGAACTATTTATAATTGCATTTAATTTTGAGACTTCTAATTCCATTATTATCCAGTTAGGAAACTTACTTTATTTAGAACTAAAACAAGTTCTCTAATATCCATTCCTTCCTTAAAAGTATTTTAAAACTATTTGATACCTTCTGAACATGATCAGGAATACCTGATGCATAGTAATGTGATTGTTTTATCTTTAGGTAGGTTGGGGGTTTTTTGGGATTTTGAGTTTTTGAGACAAGGTCTTGTGACATAGTCCAGGCTGGCCTTGAACTTACTACGTAGTCCAGGCTGGTCTCAGACAAACGGCACTCCTCCTGCCTCAGCCTCCCAAGTGCTGGGATTATGGTGTGTGACATCATTCCTGGTTTAGATAAGTCTTTTAAAAACCAAATTTTTTCACTTTTACTGTTTATATTTAATATTTAAAACTCCTGGCCATTGCAATAAAATATGAAATAAGACAAAATACTTCACTATTTGTTGATCATATAATATGATAAAGTAGCAGAAAAGATGAATAAATAAAAAACTTATTTTTCTATGTAGTAGTAAATAAGAGGCAAATAAACTGAAAAACCATTAAATTCATTGGCTTTTTTTTTTTTTTTTTGGTACCAGGGATCAAACTCGGGACCTTGCGCTTACAAGGCAGGCGCCAGAACCACTTAGCTAAATCCCTGGCCCTGGCATTTTTTTTTCTTAAAGTAGGACCTGTATAGAGTAGCCTTTTACTGAGAGGTTCTAAAAGGATAAATAGAAACATCCAGTTTGTTTTTGTTGTTTGTCTTGTTTGGTTGGATTTTTTTTCCTCCTTTCTTGTTAAAATGTTTTAAGTTGGTTGGGCATGGTGGTGCATTCCTGTAATTGTAGCACTTGGGAGGCTGAGGCAGGAGGATCACCATGAATACAAGGCCAGCCTGTAGCGGGGACTGAACCCAGAGAGTGCTGAGGTATAATCCTTAGTCCTTTATATTTTGAAACAGTCTTGCTAAGTTCCCCAGACTGGACCTACAGTTGTGTTCCTCCTGTCTCAGCCTCCCAAAAAGTTAGAATTACAGATGTGTGCAGGGCCCAGAAGAAATGTGCGTTTTATCTACTTGATTAATTTTTTTTGTACCAGAAATTGAACTCAGGGCCTTGCATTTGCCAGCCCGGCACTGTGCCGCTGAGCCACATTCCCAGCCCTTGAAATGTACCTTTTAAAGTGTAATTTTAAATGAGCTATGATAAATAAATATACCTCTTTGTCCTTCATCCCAATTAAAATGCACATATTTCTAATCATGCCAGTAATTTCCCCATCTCTTGTCCAGCCAGTCCTCCTACTTTGCCCAGTTGATTCTTAACACCATTGCTTAGTTTTGCCTGTTCCGAGTGTTTAAGTAAATGGAATCAGAGTGTGTGTACTGTTGTGCCTGGCTTCTTTTGCTCAACATGAAAGAACATTTTCTTTCATGATAAGGCCGAGTAACTTGAACAGCTGATTTTTTTCCCGTATTAATACCACATATGCCAAGTTTTGTATAACAATTCACCTAGCATTATTTTTGAAATTTTACAAATTGATTTTCAGTTTTATCAAAATAAATAGATGAGAGTGATTGAGAAACTCAAAAAAGAAGCAAATGGGGTGGTGGTGGTGGTGAAGGAAGTTGGCTCTGCCAAATATAATGTATTGAAATGTCTACAAAAATGAAAGAGAATTGTAAGAACATTATTTGAAGAATAATCAGAATTAAATAAGTATAGTTGAACTTCATGCAATAAAGGAAATAATTTCTGTAACCCATGGAAAGGGAATGCCTATTCAATAAAAGGTGCTGGGAGATTTTACTCTGTGGGAAAATGATCAGGATTCATTCCTAGTTTATGATGTGCCAAAATAAATTACAGATGGACTAAGGAGTCAATGCGTAATGGGGTAGCAGGTATAGTAATACTGTAAGATGTGCAGAAAAGTGTTCTTTTGTCTGAAAGTGATCTGCAGTTCTGTTCAATCCTGTAATCTAAGCTCTTTGTGTAATGATCAGACTTTTTAAATTTCTTGATCCTATTCAACCCATGTCTATTGTGTATTATTCTCATAGATGGCATTTGGATATATTGAAAGTAAAAGGATCTTACTTGACCTTGTAGTGACACTGAAGGGATTGTCACGTCCAGTTTTTGTAGCGTCCTGGATTCTTGCCCTTTGGTAGACATGGGGTGGTGTCTCTGTCCCCTTGGGAATTTGATTTTCTGTTGGTATCTGGTGCTGGTGTCTGTAGTAGATGAACTTAAGATTTTTTTCTTTTTCCCTACCTGATAAGAGCCACATGGCCTCTTCCCTGCCCTTTCCTCAGCTCTTACTGAACCTTTGAGCCCTCTGAGCCTGCCCTGTCTGATGTGTGGCCCCTTGGCCCACATGGCACACTGTCACTTTTATCGGCTTCTGCTGAGATCACCCTGCCTGCCCTGCCCTGTTGCTGCAGTTCCTGTGGCAGGTCCGTCATCTCTAAACTGTGTGTCATGTGGGAAGTGGGGAAGATTCAGGAAGTTTAGATAGACTTTCTCCAGCATACCACACTTCTCTATAGAGACCTCCAGCCTATGAAATGGGGTCTAGGGCCAGAAACCCTGTGCTGTTTTCCTCTTAGCTCTTCTAACACAACCACCATTTCCCTCTTTATCAAAGCCAGAAGAGGAGAAATTGGAGTATTTAGAATTGTCCCTTCTTTTCCTCCCTGGTTCCTTCAAGTGCCTAGAGCAACAGCTTTTCCCTCATCTTTCTGTCTGTGCCTTTGACATAAACTACTTATGATCTGTATTCAAGAACTTGCTGCCAGGCGTGGTGGCACATGCCTGTAATCCCAGCACTTGGGAGGCTGAAGCAAGAAGATCGCTGCAAGTTCGAGGCCAGCCTGGGCTACACAGTGAGTTGAGAGCCAGCCTGAACTACAAAGCAAGACCCTGCCTCAAAAAAAAGAACTTGCTATTTGGATATGTTGAAAGTGAGAGGAATTCTGCTATTTGGATATGTTGAAAGTGAGAGGAATTCAGTTGACCCTGTAGTGCTGGTGAAGAATTTGTTACAGAGCGAATTTAAAGGAATTTTTTTCTTGCTGAATAGTGCATGACTCCTGATCCTGTTGATTGCAGCAAATTCCATATTAAATGTTAAAGAAAATACAGTGGTCACTTAGTGTCCACAGGGAAGAAGACCTCTGCCCCCACAGAACAAATGCTCAAACCCCTTCTATAAAGTGGTATGGTATTTGAATATAACCTATATATCCCCTCCTGTGTGCTTTAAATCATCTCTGGATTACATATAATACCTAATACAAAGTAAATGTTACTGTAAACAGTTGTTACACTGTATTTCTTAGGGAATAATGTTGAGGAAAAAAATTTCCTACATGTTCAATACAGGTTCAGCCAGCATAGGCCTAGTAACTATATTTTTGATTCAAGGTTGGTTGAATCTGTGACTGTGGGATCTAGGGATACAGAGGGCCAACTGTATTTCTTCTTTTCCTTTTTTTACATTTTCTTTATAACAGATGCTAATCTCTACTAAGGCAGATAGATGCCTTTTGTTGGCTGAAGAGATGGCTTTGTACTGGAAAAGGTTAAAGAAAAAGTTTAGTAGTTTTCAGATAACTTCTATTACAAGCTTAATAGTAATTGAAGAAATTGCCAGGAAAAGTATTGGTAAAATTGATCTAGATGAAAATGTTTATTCCTTTAGAAAGCTAAACACATTTAATTGAAAAATCAATCAAACTAAAGATATTATAGCAAATATAATTTATTAATCTGGTAAATGTGTAAAGAGTAGTACGTAATTATTGGGGGGGCCGTGAAACAGGATCTTGCTGTATAGTCCAGGCTGGCCTTGAACTAGTTATGTAGCCCAGGCTTACCTTGAACTCAAGGCAGTCCTCCTGCCTCAACCTCCAGAGTGCTGGGATTCCATGAGTGTGCCACTACACCCAGCGGTACTTACTGATTTTTAAAACAGACACCAACTGGCTTCTACTACTACATAAAGAAATAATTTAAGGGAAAAATTGTGTGTCAGGAGTTTGTTGTATCTTAATTTGTGTTTAACACAATACTAGTTTACATACATATTCATACGTAAGGTCACTTTTTAAAATGTACATGATATGGAAAAAAGAAATGAAAGGAAATGTATCCAAATATTAGATGTGGTTTTCTTTCAGTGGAGAGGTTATGGGTAATTTTGCTTTTCTTTATTTTCAAAATCTCTATAATGAGCAGATTTTCTTTCATAGAGTGAAAAAGATATTTTTATTTGTTAAGTAAATGTTTATCTCATGTTAATCCTCAAGTTATTGTTGTTCATTTTGATAAATACTGGATAGAGAATGAACTATACATAAAAAGACATTTCTCGTTTTGCTTTACTTAATATATTAATACTTTTTCATTTTTATGTTTTCTTTTAGGAAGCTATCATACAAATAATGAAAATGAGAAAGAAAATTAGTAATGCTCAGCTGCAGACTGAATTAGTAGAAATTTTGAAAAATATGTTCTTACCACAAAAGAAAATGATAAAAGAACAAATAGAATGGCTAATAGAGCACAAATACATCAGAAGAGATGAATCTGATATCAACACTTTCATATATATGGCATAATTTTGAATATCATGGACAATACTGAGAATGCAGATTTTGGAGTGCTTGGGCAGAAAGTTGTCACAGTTTGAGCTGGAGAAAGGTTTATTTGGACTTTGATTACATAAATATTCAAATCTCTGCCTTACCTTTACAGAATGACTCTATTTTACCAGTCACACTAGTTAGCATGATGGCATTCCCTTCATGTTGCACACTCTGTAACAGCATGCTGTTTTGTGGAGAAACTTGCATTCATGAAGAGCCCATTATGAACTTTTAAAAGTAAATTTGATTTTTACCCACCAGGAAAAATACAACGGGAAGGGTGAGGGCGGGGTTCTGTTTGCTTTTCTCTCTCTCTTTTATTTTTCCTCTTAAAAAAATGTACTTGCACAAGGAAGGATATTCAGATATTCATGCACTGAAAAATGCTGTTATCTTTGTTTTTTAAAAAATGCAATTAAAAGTAGAAGTAGCACTCTTGGCTTCTTGTGATGAGAGTGAGCTGGTCAACACAACGTTGGGAGAGGGCAGATGTAGGAGAGAAGATAAGTATTTCACAGAATCGAATTTTTCAAACACTGCTTCAGCGTCATAAGTGGATTTAAATGCTGACCTATAAAATGGTATTAAGTATTTCTAACTTGCAAACTTTTTTTTAAAGCAGGAGACTGCTGCTGTAGTTATTTGTTACTAAATGATGAGTTAAAAAATCTTATATGGCTGGAGAGCTTGTTTGAAAGTGAAGCTTATGTTGTTGCTTCAATTGATGGAGAAAAATTATGGAGATAGGTCATGATTGCAGAGTCAGAATAGCAAAACAAACATTATTGTGTGTTAACTAACACACTTAATATCTACATACCTAATATTTATTATGCCATATCTAAATTTATTGAAAACAATGCTGAAATCTGCTCTGATAGAATACATTTATGGAACTGATCTCTTAATCTGTAGCATAGAACTATTTTGGTATTTTGAAGTCTCATGGTTAGGGATCTACGTAGCCTTGGGTTTCTTGAAAGAAAAGCGTTCTCTTTTAAAAAGTAATAATTATCAGTCACCTAGGAGGAAGAGAGAAACCACAACATAAGACCTGAAAAGTGTAAGCAAAGATGTTACAGTCTTAACATGAGCAGTAAACTTGCCAAATATGTACATATATATTTATATATTTTAAAAATAAACATTTTAAAAATGTTTAGAAGGCAACAGTTATCTTGTTTCTTTCAGTTAATACAAAGCAGCAACTTAGTAGTTGCTGGCAACTGAATATCCAGAGCAGTGGAAATTTTAGGATTTGAGAACTTGAACAACTGAAAAGAGAAAAATTGTATTCCCCATTGGGAAAACAAAATGGCTCAATATGGATTTTTATTCATTGTGGTGCATGTTTCAATTTTCTTAAAAATTGTTTTCTATCTTTTTGATGTTAAGTAATATTTGAAAGTATGGTTTTGAAGAAAGTAGAAAATAAGATTGCTGGAAAGCATACAGTATTATATTATAGAGTGCTTGTAAGAACATTTTTTAATGGAATGTGCCGCCGATCTCAAGAAGCATTGTGAGCTTCCGGCTGAAAAGAAGGAAAGAAAATTTAAAACATTTAAGATTTTGCTCAAATGCCTGTTCTGAAACTCATAGAAAATTGAAATTTTATTGATAATTTAAAACCTTACCCTTCTAAGATAGCATATGTCAATTATAGACCAAACATTGTGATGAATTAAAATTAGTGTTCATTATTTTCACTAATTAGATGCCTGTTAACAGTGGATAAATTTGAAGTTTAGAAGAAATAAGTTTGTAATAATTTGGCTCTTATGTCTAACAAATAGTGTGATATTGGCATATTTGCTTGTCCTAATATAAGAAAGCCAAAGGAAGAAACAATAGGGAAAATTATAGACTTTAAAAAAAAATATGTAAGATTTGTTTTAAACCATAATCTCAGAACTACTTTGATGTTTCTAATCTTTTTTGGTAATTTGAGAATGAGGGGGCCGGAGATTTAGCTCAGTGGTGCCATGCCTGCCTCACAAGCGTGAGGTCCTGAGTTCGATCTCTGGTACCAGGGTGGGGGTGGGGGAATGAAAGCCATGGTGTTTTGATTCCACAAGGCAAATTTAATGGAAAGTGAGTAACGCTAAATCCATAGCAAAAGTTTTCTATTAAATTTTTAAATAGCTAATTATGTCCTAAATGTATTTGGGGCATTGAACAGCAGCAAATACTGTAGACTTACAGTTTTCAATCAGTTTTAAAATTATTTATACAAAAGTTTAAGTTTTGGTGTTTATGAAAACCATTGTATTGACACGTTGCCTATGCCATTGTTGAATTTTCTTTAAATATGTTTTGACATATGTTTGCAAATTGAAGAAAAAAGAGTCTGGAGAAAATAATTTTAACCAGTAATTTGCTAATGGTACAGAATCACAGTATTCTTTATCATCAGGTCTCTTTCTCCAATGTGCACTTAAAATTAGCATTATCTGAGCCAAGGATATGACGCCTCACATAGCTATGAAAAAAAAGTCCAGTCTCTAAACTCCAAGACCAAAAAAACACTTTTCTTATGAGTAATGTTGCAGGAGGACTCCTAAGAAGTTGTTTTTGTTTTTGTTTCTGTTTTTTTAGCCAGGGTCTCACTGTAGTTCAGGCTGTCCTTGAACTCACTATGCAGCCCAGGCTGGCCTTGAACTCACCTGCCTCAGCCTTTCAAGTGCTGGGGTTACAGGCCTGAGCCACTGTGCATGGCTAGAGGTTAAGTTTTGAACATTAATTTTCTGATTTAAAGATGGAACCATCTGAAAATGGTAACTGTTGTTGCCACATCATTGTCATAGTAAGTAGATATGAAACAAAATTTACAAAGTGAAAACAGGACATTTTTGATGCTTATAATGAGATAAATATTAGAATATTATTGTTTCAACGATTTAATGAGATCATAACAGAAATTCTGAAGTCTTCCAGTTTTTACATTTATTGGAGGGGTCCCTGAGCTCTTTCAACTTACTTAATTCTCTTACTGTTGCTTTTTACATAAATGTTAAAATTTCCAAAAATGAAATGTTAGCTTTCTTATTTTTGCGTTTTATTATACTTAATACAGAATATGACCTTAGTAGTTTAAAAGGTATTTTTCGTTATTTGCAGTAAATATGTCAGTAACCCTGCTCAAAGGACAAATTTTTAAAATTCAGTTTGAGTGAAAGATTTGCTAGTTTTACAGAAAGATTTGCTGTCATAAATTTAAGCTGGTTTTTCTATTTTCATGTAAATGACTGGGATGCTGTCTTATAAATTCTTCCAAGGTCATATGTGTGAAATAAACAATACATGAGAGCTTGCCTGTCATCTACAGTGTCATCTGGAGTGTTGAACAAATCTGAGTTCCTAAGGTGTAATCTATCCTCACATGGTCTATGCGATCTTCGAATGTGTGCCACTACATACTGAGATGGTAATGCTGTACAATTCTGAATGGTAGCAGTTTCTGTATGCAGTAGGCTGAAATATTTTGATGAACTGCTTAATTTTTGGATTTTATTTTTTAAGTTGTATAATTTATTTTCTGCAAAATAAAAAAATAATATAAAAGCTTTCACCTATCCAGAAAATGTTGATGTTCTACTATAAAATAGTTTCTAAGACTTTAAACAGTTTAGCTGGTTGTGGCAGTGTACCTGTCATCCCACCCGAGTAGGAAAGCAGGAAGATTGCTTGAGCCCAGAAATTTGAGGCCAGCGTGAGCAATAGAGCAAGACCCGTTTCTGAGAAAAATTTTATAGTAATATTTCAAGGTGAAATAGTAAATCTCAACCAGCCTTGGGAACCAGAAATAAGAAAAATAACCCACTTATTTATTTTAGAATTAAAATTCTAGTTCAAAATGAAAACAAGGATTGTAGCTTTCCCCCCCTAGCATATGGGTGTCATGCTTAGAAGGGGTCAAAAATTTCAAAGCTGAAAGTGATTAGTGCATTAATCAGGCTATATTGTAATTTTATATCAGATATAAGTGAAAATGCTCAGTGTGATGGTGCATCCCTTGAAATCCCAGCACTCTGGGAGGCTGAGGCAGGAGGATCACAGGTTCCAGCCAGGCTTGGACAACTTAGTGACTTAGTAAGACCTCATCTCAAATAATAGAAAGGCTAGGAATGTAATTCCATGGAAAGGTCCTGGGTTTAGTTCCCAGTACTGCAAGAATTTGAGTGTGTGTGTACAATTTTTAGGGTATATTTCAAATTTGTGAAATACTTATTTCAAAACTAGTTTAATTAGGTTATTAGGTAGCTGGATGTAGTGGTGCACACCTGTAATGCCTGCACTCAGGAGACCGAGGCAGGAGGATTGTTGTGAATTCAAGGCCACCCTGAACTACATAGACCCTGTCTCAAAAAAAAATCAAAACAAAAAATTTTTTTAAAAGATGGATAGGTATGCTCAGTAGCATACTAGTTACTGACCAAGTGAATAATTTAATAATCAGGAAACTGACTATAGAAAAACTTCAGTTGCATTCAGGAACCTAACTGCATAGAAGAACTAAATTTAAATTTTTTAAAATTTGAGAAACCATATTTTACTCATTTAAACGGTGGTAGCCAGCTGGATGGATAAACACAACTGACTTCATAATGATACAAAACTCAGCCTTTGCCATGTTTGGTGGTGCATGCTTGTAACCCCAAGTACTTGTAAGGCTGAGGCAGGAGGATTGCAAGTTTGAGGCCACCCTGGGTAACTTAGCAGTACCCTCTGGAAACTTAAAGTGGGGGAAAGCTAATGGTGGTGGTACACACCTATAATCCCAGCACTTGGGAGGCTGAGGCAGAAGGGTCACCCCAAGTTTGAGGCCAGCATAGGCTACACAGACCTTGATTCAACAACAACAACAAAAAAGAGGATGTAGCTCAATGCAAAGGCCCTTGATTCAATCCCAAGTACCACAAAATACCTAAAATATATAAAGAACCTCCCTCACAATAAGACCCCATCAAGAAATGGGCAAATGAAATGAATCAACACTTTACAGAAGAAATACAGCCAGGGATTTAGCTCAGTGGTTCTGCCGCCTGCCTTGCAAGCACAAGGTCCTGAGTTCGATCCCTGGTACCAAAAATAAAAAAGTACAAATGGGCAATAAACACATGAAGAAATGATCAGTATCACTGGCCATTAGAGAAATGCAAATTAAAACACTGAGATTCCACTCATCCCAGAAAGAATCATCAAGAAATCAAATAATAATATGCTGGCAAGGCTGCATTGAGCTAGATTTGAGAGTTACTCCTTTTTTAATTTTTATCAGTACATGTTTGCAGTGCATAATTACATTCATCATGGGATGTTGGTACATGTACCTAACATCTCTTTTCATCCCCTTTCTCTTGTTCTTGATCCCCTTCCCATTTGCAAAAAACCTATCTCCCTATTTTCTGTTGCCTTTTATTTTGCTTTTTAATTTATTTGTACATTGTCTTTCTTGTAAGAGAAGCCATGCAATATTTAAGCTTGTGTGTCTGATTTATTTCATTTAACATTATGATATCAAGATACATCCATTTTCCTACAAATAACTCGTTTACCTTTTATGACAGAGTTGTCCTCCATTGTATATAACTATAATGTTACTCTTTATTCACTCATCTGTTTGTTGATAAACATATAGGCTGCTTCCAGTATTTAGCTATGATGAATTATGCTGCTATAAACTTGGGTATGCACTGTAATATATCTTTCAGGAAGATACCTTGAAGGCAAATAGCTGGGTCAAATGGATTTTTTGAGGGGGGGGCGGGGATCTCTTGTAGTTTAGGTTGGCCTTGAAATCACCATGTAATCTAGGCTGGCCTCAAATTTGTGGCAATCCTCCTGCTTCGTGCACCACCACACCTGCTTTAATGGAATTTCTAATTTTAGGGTTGGTTTTGAGACAGAGCCTCCCTATGTAGTTCAGGCTGGCCTGAACTCTCTGTAGCCCAGACTGGCCTCCAACTTGCGGTGATCCTCCTGCCTCAGCCTCCCAAGTGCTGGGCTAATTTTAGAGGTTTGAAAATCTCCATACTGATTTCCATTGTGTTTGTACTAGTTTACACTCCCACCAGCAATGTAGAAGGATTCCTTTTCCCCCTGCAACTTCTTCAGCATTCATTATTATTTGATTTTTTGATGCTAGCCAGTCTTTCTGGAGTAAGATGGAATCTCAGTATTGTTTTAATTTGCATTTCTCTAATGGCTTGAGATGTTGAACATTTTTTTCACTTATTTTTTGGCCATCTGTATGTCTTTTTTTTCTTTTTATTTTTTTGCCATCTGTACTTCTAAAAAGTGTCTGTTTCAGTTGCCCACTTTTTGTTTGGGTCTTACTTTGGAGGAGTCTAATTTTTTTGAGTTCTTTATATATTCTAGATAGTAGCTCTGTCCCAAAGAGTACAGTGAAGAGGGCCAGGGATTTAGCTCAGTGGCGTCACGCCTGCCTTCCAGGCTCAAGGTCCTGAGTTTGATCCCCAGCACTGAGAAAGAAAATGTACAGTGAAGAGACAACCTACAGAATGGGAAAAATTTTTGAAAGTTACTCCTTTTTAAAATACCACAGTTATGGGGCTGAGGATTTAGCTCAGTGGCACCGTGCCTGCTTGGCAAGTGCAAAGTCCTGAGTTCAATCCCAGGTACCAAAAAAAAAAATCATAAAATATCACAGTTATCCCAGTAAGAATAGGACTTGGGAATACCTATACACAGTCCTTTTTCTGTAGCTTCTAACTTACTTATTTTCCCCTCTCCACCTTACCTCTTTCTTTATTGGCAGATATTCTTACTTTGAAAAAGGAAGATCTCCAGGATGAAGTTTCCTTGCTTGCTTTCCCCCAACTCTGAACTTAACCTCTAATGTCTGTTTTCATCTGCTTACCTGTCTCACAGAATTAGATGGCTCACTTCTTACTCAAGGCCAGCTGTGTACCATTTCTCTGAGTCCCATTTCTCTGCCTCCCATGTTTTGCTCCACAAATATCTCCATGTACACATCTCCTTTTGGTCTTTCACATCCTGACTTCAGCAGTGGCTCAGCTTGAGCCCATAGAGCAGCAGCTTTAGCATCGCCTGGGAACTCACAGTGGAAGTGCGTGAGCTCCACCTGGACCTATGGAATCAAACTGCAGGCGAGGCCTCCATGTACTGCTGATACACACTAAAGCTTCTAAACTACTCAGACCTCCAAGCATACTCAAGCTTCCACCATCCTTTAAAAAGTTTTCTCTCCCCTACCTTGGTCATGCTCTGACCTTATTTTTTCTTCTTTCCCTTTTCTACAAAACATCTTGCCAGATCAGTCCACAGTCTGACCATCCCATTCTTCAGTTTGGGATCATTGGCCCATGTCCCCACTGCTTTTCTCTCAAAGTCATCAGTGAGACCTCCAGTGCTTACAAGTGCATTTTTGCCTGGCATGGTGGTGCACATCTGTAATCCCAGCACTTGGAGACTGAGGTAAGAGGATCATGAGTTCAAGGTCAGCCTGAATTACATAACCAAGATCCTGTCTCAGTAACCAAAAAATAAAAATGAAAAGTGCTTTTTCAGTTTTCCTTTCACTTGATCTCCTTTAGTCAGATGCACCTGGAACACTCTGAACTCGAGTTTGTTTCATCCTTGTCTTCAAGATGATCCTCCTGCCACTCTGAACTCTCTTGCTCTCTGTTTCATTCTCTGGCCCTTCGGCTCGAACACACAGGATTCTCCCTCATGATTCTCCACTCCTGCAAGCTACATCTCCCTGGGTGAGTTCTCTGCTTTCCTAGTGTCAGCACTGTACATGTTGCTGCTCCGCAAAGTCTCAGGCCCAGGCTTTCTCTCCTAAGCTTAGCACATTTTTGGTACAGAGGATTGAACACGGGTATCAAACTGAGCTCCCAGCCCCTCTTTTAAAAATTTTTTATGTCAACAGCTTCCTAAGTGACCGTGTTGCCCAGACTGGGCTCAAACTTGGGATCCTACTGCCTCAGCCTCCCAGGTGTTGCTCCATGCCTGACTTCCCTCTATTTGTACATGTTACCATCTCTCAGTCACTCTCCCCACACCACATTGTTGATTGTACTTCTCGAGTGCCTCTAGAATCTAGTTTTCATTTGTCACTACCATGTATTCACTGAACAAGAATCCATCATAGTCTGCTTATGCCACCCGAGGTAGGTAAGAATATACCTTCATAACTGCCGGGCTACTTCCTGGCTCTGTGTGTGTGTGTGTGTGTGTGTGTGTGTGTGTGTGTGTGTGTGTGTGTGTGTGTGTG